TTTAAATAATCTCTACATCTAACATGGGGCTTGAACTTATAACCCTGAGATAAAGAGTCACATGCTCTACTGACTGAGCCCCCCAGGTGCCCCAGGAGTCCCTCTTTATGACAGCCATGGAGCTTCCACCTGATGTCACTGGCTCCTTGCCGGGCCTGCTGAAATCCATTCCAGTCTTTCCCTCTTACCAACCAACTGCAGTGGGTGCCCCTGGCCCCATGCTTTTTGTACATCTGTGCAAGTATGCACGCAGGAAAACTTCCAGAAGCAGAGCTGCATGAGGGCCTGTTTCTTCCAGTGGATGCTGAAAGCTTCAGACAAGCCCAGTTCCCCTCTGGGAGGGAGTTGAGTAACACCCACCCACAGCCAGCCAGGGCCACCCAGCGCAGGGCAGGTCCCAGTGGCTCCCTTGGCCCCTCCCTCAACCGTCACTTCAGCCGCTACAGGGCAGGGACCCACTTGTTTGGCTCCAACTGTCAGCCTGAGCTGAGTGAAATGAAATTGCAACCCGGATAAAATGTAACTGAGGTTAGTTTTAGGGAGAGGAACTCAGGGAGTGTGACACCTTCCATTCGCTACTTTATAGAAGCTGATATTGTTGAATCTGTTGCAGATACAACCCCTGGGAGCATGTGTTAACTGTTAAAATTAAGCAAAGCTATCTTACCAAAATGCCAGCCCCGAGTTCCTTCCTGGGATTGCTACTACCAGCCGAGCTCTACTCCCCAAAACACCATCGCTTCTAATCCTCAACCATGAGGCAAGGGCCAGAATCATCCTTGCTTCTCTGAGGACATTACAGAAACTCGACAGATTAAGTAACGTGCCCAAGGTTATGCCCAGGAAGTGGCAGACCCTTGATCTGAACCGCAAGAGTCGAGGCGGTTCGCAGCCACCCTGCCTGTTCCCACTGACTCAGAGGCTCCAGGCAGGGCAGGGATCTGAATCAGAAGTCAGCCCAGCGTCCCTGTTCACAGGGCCTGGAGCGTGGCATTAGCCCAGTGTCCCTGTTCACAGGGCCCAGCACGTGGAAAGGAGAAGTGACCCACCCAAGCTGACACAGGGAACGAGAGGCAGGGAGCGGGCTTGTCACCCAGGCCCCCTTCTCCACAACGACCAAGTGCTGTTGCCATGTACCAAGCACAAGCACCAGGCAGCTGGGGACCCAAGGAACAGCAAAAAGAAGACAGCAGGGAGGACACTCGGGCTCAGAGGGGTTCCATCCAGCCCGGGGGACGAGGCCAGCTAGCACGCAGCCATTGTTAGAAAGATGCCTTGTAAACTTCAAAAAACTGGATGCCAGAGACTCTCAAGGCCAGCCACAGGCTTTCATATCCTCTCACTCTTCCCAAGCAACCGGCTGTGACTCGCCCATCATGGGTGTTATCATCTCCCCCACTCCACTCCTCACCCCAGGTGCCGGGACCGGCAGTGGCATCCTCTTGCAGCCGGCAGCTCGTCCTGGAGGTCAGGCCACCCCCTCAACACCCTCGCAGGCCAAGAACCACAAATAAGAAGGTGAGAGACCTGCCTGGCGAAAATGCACGGTCATCAGAGCAACGTGACGCCAGCTCGGAGCAAACGTCCGCAGGAAATCCAGAAACGAGTTCGAGAACACACGAGACCGCGAGGCAGGTGGAAGGTGGTGCTGCAGTTTCGCGGGGAAGGTGTTATTTGCCTTGTCAATTTCCCCAGAGGACAGAGCCCTGATCCCCCTTCAGACCACACACACAAAAATAAAACCCAGAGGGACCACATGCTTGAATACAGAAATAAAACACCACGGGAGTCGAACGCGCACATCCACATCTGAATAAGATGGCTCAAGGTAGCTCTGTTCATGATTGCCCCGGAGTGGCAACAACCCCCACGTCCATCCATAGGTGCAAGGAGAAACAAACTGTGGTCCATCCACACGATGGGCTATGACTCAGTGATAAAATGGGACAGACTACTGATAGACATGACATGGACAAGTCTCCAGCTGAGTCAGCTGAGCAAAAGCAAGCGAAACTCAAAAGACTGCAGAATGTACGATTCTGTTCATATGACTTTCTGAAAACTACATAAAGGAACTGAAAGCAGGTCAGTTGATGCCAGGGGCTGGGCACAGGGGAAGGAATGGACTACAGAGAGACACGAAGAAAGTTTTGGGGGGTGATGGAAACATCCGTTATCTTTTTTTTTTTTAATGTTTATTTACTTTTGAGAGAGAGAGAGAGAGAGAGAGAGAGAGAGAGAGACCGAGCACGAGCGGGGAAGGGGAAGTGAGAGAGGGGGACACAGAATCGGAAGCAGGCTCCAGGCTCTGAGCTGTCAGCACAGAGC